ATTTACAATAACCAGATATATGGGGAATATGTTCATTTTTATAATTTTTTTTAGAATTAATGCTAGGACTTCAAGAGATGTTTGTAAAACACTTAAGCCCACCTCCCCCCAAATTGAAATTTTTCAAGTCAAAAAGGGCATAACTCTGTTCTGTCAAAAATGACGAGATGGTACCCAAAAACAGAATTTGACCTAGATATTTATTTGAAAAATCTGTATATTAAATTTCATTTTAGTATGTGCAACCTCAGCGAAGAAAATGAAAGGAAACTGCAAATAATTTGATTTTTTCAAGTCCAAGTAGCATAACTCTGACACAAATGGTGATCGAACCCAAAACAGAACTTGGCCTAGATATTAATATCTGTTTTATCTGCGTGCAAAATTTCATTTCAGTACGTTCAACGGTCTTGAAGAAAATGAACGGACAATAAGTGGCCCGACAGACCGACCGACAGACAGCAGCAAAGCAATATGCCCTCCCTTCTTCGAAGGGGACATAAAAATAATCGTTGCTCAGTTTATCAGAAAAAATTTTTTGTATGTTCCAGGAAATATTTGAAACATCATTTCACACTCGGAGTCATGATTTGTATTGACTACCACGCTTGATTGACGAATCACCTTCACCTGAACATATGCATTACGCTCTTACCTACACTCCTCGTCCATTTAGCTGACCAGATCAGATACTTTATGGTCACAAAGACTGTAAAGTTTATCATTTTTAGTTTGTAAAGCATGAATTAAACATGATTATTCTCCTCTTGTTATCTTCTTGCTCCAGGAAAAAATTTTATCTGAGAACCCATTTTTGACGGAATTTATTGTCGGTTTATTTTTTAGCCTTATATCCATGTTCTTTAACCATGTCATGTTCTCTTTTGTGAAAGAAATCCTACTACATTTTTAATAATTTTTCTTGATAGGCTTTCCAAATCGATGCACGTTTGCAAACTGAATCTAATGCCCAAATCCTAACTCACACTCTTACAAGTCTCGTAGCTGGGCTTCGTTATCTTCATTGCTAGTTTCACTCGAAGACCCGAAAACACAAGATTGCTTTACAAAGATCTCCATTGAGGATCGTCAACTTTATAACACAATCGCCACGGTCACGCCCTATGATCTCTAGATTTCTATTTATGAGTTAGATCTTTATCTTTTGTCGCAAAAATTTCTTTGGTCAGGTTTTTCATCATCTACTGTTTTTCTTGTCTTCCTGGTCTTTTCAATCGGCTGGGATATTCAGGAATTTTTCATGCCCATAAATCTAGCTAGCATCAGGATATCAGCATTGATATCAGTATCAAGAAGTTAAAATGAAATAAGCAATTTTACAATTGACCTACTTGAAATCAGCTTTGTCTTACAGCATCGGAAATCGGTGATTTTTTCAGTTTTAAATTGCATACCAAAAAAGATAACCGGTGACACTACTAACAAATAACATATAATGGAATAAATATCTGATTCTTACGCCTCAGTGACATGGGACTTCAGTTTTGTGGTCTCATACAAAACCGCAACTTTCACTTCAAGTGCCGAACAGATACTGATTTTGTATCGACTTGCGACCGTTCACAGTACCCCAGTCGGTAGAGCGCTCGCTCCGTGATCGGGAGGTCTTTTTCGATCTCGGCCGCGACTACCTAGTCGATAAAATGGGTAGCAACTCAGCACACCTGGCACATTGAAGTGAAATTTGGGGGTTTGGGATGAGCCCTTTAAAAAACCGGGGCCCCCGTTCAGACAGGCATTGGCACGATAAAGATCCTCACTGCTCAATGGCCCAGAGTGCGGAGAAAAGGTAAAATTTAAAACCCTTCACCTGCATACGGTGACGCCTCCAAAAGAGGAAAAGTTCTCAGAGGGACGTTAAACAATATACAATTAATCAATCAATGTATCATTGGTGTCCTACCAAGATTCAAACCCATGACCTACCGATCAGGAAGTGAGCGCTCTGTCAGCAACCGTAAACAGCGTGATGAAATATAGTGATAAAAGGTTTACAAAGCTTTCAACTGCGATGCTGAAATCATTTAGCTATTTCCCCCATACTATGATTCTACTTCCAGTTGCATTGACCTAATTTTAAAAAATCAAAGGATCATCATATATACTGTATAAAGATAACAATAATTAAATAAACATCAAACAACCAAGGACATATAAAAATAAAACATCCACACTGCAACAATTAGTTCCCTGCACTTTGTTCATGTCCTTTTTAATTAATATATACCACTAAAAGGGACAATTACGGAAATTATTTCACATCAATCCTGAAAATTTTGTTTTTTGTAACAATATATAACAAATAATGATAATTTTGTGAGTTTTTTTTTCTTTAAACCGGCTTAACTCATCATTTTTAAACGTTGAATATTGAACCGGGGGTGTTTTTTCTCCGTTGAAAATTGAGACCAAAAGTAGTTGCATTGAATTTATATTCCGGCTCATTTTTCAACAGCTTGATATTTTTTTCTTATCCCTGTTGATCTCAACAAGTTGAGAATTGACCTTGTTGAATATACCCCACCAAAGATTTTAACATTTTTTGAACAGGGAAGTTGCTTCACGGGATTTATCAGTATCTCTATATTTATATTTTTCGGTTTCAATTTTTCCATTTTCAAGAAGAATACAAATAAACCTATCATTCCGTGTATATATGTACATTTTGAACAGTACACGATTGCAGTTACCTTCAAGCATGACAACTTTATTTCTTGACAATACTTTCTAAAATCCATACATTTGTAGCACCCATAAATAACAACATAATTGGGCAAAAAACAAAATTGACATCTTGTGTCTACAAAGTGAGCACTGTATATATACTGATATTGATCAGGTGGGCAGAACATTCCATCTAGTCGTATTCAGTCTTAAATTAACAAAAATAAAAGCCTACAAATTAGAATAAAACACATGGCCAAAATAAATCCAATGCACTTGAAATCTACATCGATAAAAATAAACCTGAACTTTCCTCAATTCAAATTGAAAAAATGCTCACATAATTTATCTCAACTTGAGAGAAGAGCACTTAACCAATAACGAAATCGCAACTATATTGTAATTAAAAAGGCTGACAAAAACAAAATATGTGTTATGAACAAACACGACAATATTAAGGAAGGCGATCGCAAACTGAACACTAAATATTACGAAATCATTGACGATTTTGATTTATCATTACTCCAAAGGAATATTGAAAATAAAATCAAACTTAGACCTCATGCTGAATGCATAATGTTCAGTTATGACGTTAACATCCCTTTATACAAATATGCAGTTCAATGAATTACTCACAGCTGTCAGTGAAGCATACTCTATATACAACAAAGGAGCATTCAAAATTCCTTCACCACCTACAGAGGATCCTCTGTGGTTGTTACAAACAATATAAGAGAACAGGCTTGCGGTCAATTACTTTGAAATGTAATTAATTACTTTCAAATACATTGATAATTTTGTCAATTACTTGCAATTACAATTACATTGATTTTTTCAAATGTAATTAATTACTTTCAATTACTTTGACAAATGTAATTAAATACATTTCAAATTCTTCGAGTTTTATATAAAAATCAAAGTACTGAAAGTACTCATGGGAGTTGAACATTGTTATCAGAAAGATCTCACAGGAAGTATAGGAACATCTTCATGCATTCAGATTCAAGTCAGCTAGAACTGATTTGTTAGAGATACAAAATGAAACATTAAAAATGATTTCTAAATGCATTTAAATAGCCACGATCATGGGACTGCTCTTAAATTAGCTGCAGAATTGTAGCTCTCCGAAAAAAAAATTAACAAACCGGAGAGCTACAGTGCTATCCATTGAAAAAACTGTATATATATGCGGACGAACAGTTCAGCTCCTAGCTGTTTTTTTTTTTATATATAGATTCAATTGCAATATAGGAAGTGAACACAGCAACTTAATAGCTTTAAACGATAAATCATCTGGAATGCAACTTGTAGATATAGTTTTTCATAAAATTAAGATTTTTTTAAGAGCATGCGATAAGGCTTTTAATTTGTACGTTAAAATAACGATAAAACAGAATAAATTTTATGTTTATGAATTATGTATTTTCCCCACTAATAACAAGATAAGAAATTTAATCCACTAGAATTTGTCAAATAATTATTTGACCAATTTTTATGATATGATTTTCTTTTAAAAACTTTGTTGTCAATGCATCAAGATCGATAGAGTGACTTGTATTACAAATTTTAATTCAAAACAATAGTTCTGATAGTTTTGTATGTGCACAAAGAAAATATCCAATTTTACAAATCGTATAAACCTGCATGTAAACTTTCCCTGCGAATTAATGGTTAAATTTTATCCATAATAATGATTAATGAATCTCCTGGAGGCCTCTTCATCGGTATATGTATTAAATGGAGGTTTCTTGGCTCGAGAGTTTATGATGTCTAAATCATATTTGGTCTTCTTCTTGGGCAAACGATCTCGGCTTATCGTCTGCGTCTTCATCCTAGCATCTTTCTTTCTGTAATTTTGGCTACTAGATGGCACTGTTGTTTGTGTTGAACCAATGGGAGGCAGGACTGTTCCATAGCACGAAGGTGTTTCTTTTGGAGGGATTGTCTCAGGAAAAGTTGTCCCTGGCACTGAAGTAAAAGTGTCGACACCTCTCCTTGCTTCCTTTGGAATAAAAATTTGTCTTCCAGCCAGATATCCAGAATGGTTATTGGAACCTGAAACACGAATAGATCCCAAAGTATTGCTTGATACGCGAACAAGTCGACTGCTTTTAATTTTCACTGTCCCATAACCAGGCACATGGCCGATTGAAGTTTTCTTGCTTGAAAAGCTTTCATAAGAATGCCCTTTTTCTAATGAATGTACTGGAGCCGAATTTTGGCATATGCATTTTAAAGCAATGCCACTTTTCTTATTTATGGGTGGGAATTGTAGTTTAAGATCAGTGTATGAGACATTGTGTTCTCTTCTTGAAGACTTATCAAAACGTTGTTTTAATTTTTCGAGGAAAACAGTATTTGGAATTTCTTGATGATTCTCGTTTGTTCTTGACAATGTCCAGGGATGTTTAGTTCTAGGATGTTCTCGTTGGTTTGGCATTGTTATCTCTGACTTTAAACCATGCATCACCTTGTTTCTCGAGTTCTGGACCTACAAACGTCAACCAAGTATTATGCATCATTGTTCAGTTAACTGATATACTCGGTTCCGGGATCATAAAACATCAAATATATCCAAATTTGCCTATGTTTCTGAAAATGGGCAAATAAATATTTTTGACACCCTCATTTACTTATACTTAATTTTAATGTGGGTTTCCGGATTATATTTCCTACATGTATGAGTCAGGAAAATATGCTCCTTTACAATTGTCATGATTGTAGCGATGGAAAATATAAATATAAATTATTAATTATGGATCTGACTATATAAAAAAGGGTAGTACAAGTTAGATCTTAGATATTTGCCTTTTTAAAAATAGAAATGATTAGTTTGTATAGTTTGTAGAAATGATTAATTTAGAATTAATTTAGAATTAATTTGACATATTGTCAATAAAATATGTTCAAAACAAAAACAATTAATTTATAATTGTAGTTAGAACGATTTTTTCGTTAATCTGCATCCGTAAAAAGCACCCAGTTTCTTAAAAATATGAAAATAATTATGAATATTACTTTTAGTGTCATAAAACCTACCTAAATGCGAATTCTTCAATGAACAATTCCCGAAATGCATTTATCTGTGTATTGTGACGTCAAAGTTTGTGAAATAACAAAAGGCAGATCCAGCAATTTAGTCCCACTTTTTTAAGATATTAAACGGATGACTATCAGATTTTAGAATAAAAATATATACAGATATTTTTGAAATATCAAGAATAAAATAAAGAGTGTAATTTGTTATTTTGTTAAAACATCGCTTCTTTTTTCGGGAAAATAATATTTTCACGTCATTGGTTTTCACCTTTCTAATCCGTTTTTGCGGGAAAATGAAAAATGGCAGCTGCTGTGAACGTGTGAAAGTGATTGTAACGATGATGGTCTTGACTGAAGAGACGTGGACTAGATTAGGGTCTTTTGATGTAAATTTTCACTAATCTGTTGGTATAATTTTGTTAATTTCTCAACACATCTTGCGTTTTCAAAGCCTCAATACCTGTTTTCTCGGAACTCCGTAGCGCACAAGATCATCATGAACATGATGGAATTTGATGACAGTGAAAGTTTTTATCCTCTCATCTCAGAGGAAAACATTTTACTGACACCACCCAGGGAATTAGAATCTGGTAAGTGAGACATGTGGCTTATGCTCAAGATTATTATATATTTTCGCTGAAGTTACTTGCACTAAGTGACTAACTACTGTCAGGGACCTATATGTTAGTATATAGGTCCCTGCGGGTAACCCGAATTACCGAAATGCCCATGATTTACCGAAATGCCCATGGGAATTTTTTTCATTTCGCAATGCCCCCAAAAACAGTCCTGAAATGCCCCTTGAATTATATTCTAATAGTAATTTTATGATAATATATGATAAATTTTATGAACGAAACTGTGTATTTTGAACACAAATGTTAAAAAATGTGTTTAATTGGCTAAAATATTGTGACCTCTAAGAGCGATAACTCTTGCAACATTGTCTCAGCGGGAAGCATGTTACCGTCCGTTATTTTATGATCCCTCTTCTCTCTCTCTCTCTCTCTTTCTCTAGATCTCTCTCTCCCGCTCTCCTTTATTTTGTTGAACAAATTTTATTCCGCATGTCTTGTTAAGTATTTAAAAAGAAGAAGAGGAAACATGGCAGAAATAGGCCTACAAGTAAGTATACACAGTTTTATTTACATCTCATACAAGTATAATAAACGCAAGATTTAAAAAAGGGAGATTTTTAAAATTCGACTTCTGTGTAATCAAATAATATTGATAATTCCAATTCCATGTTAAGTGAACATGCAGAGTTCAATAGGTAAAAAATATTTTTAACAAAAAAATGCAATCATGCTTAAAAAATTACGGCACGTCTGAATACTGGTCCTACACAGTAATTGGAGCTCATCATGCTCATGGGTAAGATATCATTGATTTAAATTATTTTGTACTTATCTTTTAACCAAAATGTTGATTACAAATAAAAAAAAATCAACCATCATCATGATCATTTCGTCAGATCCCTTTAAGAGAAGAATTAGAAGCGGATTATGGAAAATTAAATTGCTATTTAAAAATAATTATTTGAATTGTTTGAAAAAATCCATATTTGAATGTTTTTTTTTAAATACATATTTAGGGCTTACTAACAGCTACAAAATAAAAAAATAAAAACTTACCTCTGCAGTGCTTTAAAGAGTCGTACTCTTTCTCATATCAATCTCGGCAAATTTTTTTAATGGATAACGGTACGCAGTGGGAGAATACGTAAACCCCTGGGGTTCAGAGTTGTAAAATTTATAACCAAAGCTATAGCATATTTAATTAAAAAAAATTAATTCAAATTATTCAGCATGTAAATCGACATCATCAAGAAAAAAATATTTCTGTAGGAATTCTGCTACACATGTAATATGAATACAAATACTACTAGAGTTATCTCTCTTAGATATTAGATAAACGAACCTTTTGAAAGAAAAAAATACATTTGTTAATATTTTTTTTAATTCGATTTCTTGAAAATATGTTTAATTAACTCATTATCTTTCATAAAAACCAACGTATTTAAGTTTTAAAGGGGTATTTCGGTAGTTTTATGGGGCATTTCGGTAATTTCCAGGGGCATTTATATAAATCAGGGGATTTACACAAATTTGCTGCAAATTACTTTTATTTCTCAAGGAAATAGCCCATGTTTACATAATAATACTTATAGATATATGACACTGGTCTAAAAATTGGGATGAATCACTATTCAGAAAGTACAGAATCCCCGATTGAAAAAGTGTGTATATAACAATAAATTTTATCTTCTTAGAACCACAGGTGCTTGAGGACAGGACCCCCCCCCCCCCAATATAGACCCCGGGCCTGTTAGACTTTTTTTCACAAAAATTATATATATATGACATATTTGATATAATCTATCCCATCAATTCAGAAAAATTGCTTAAACTAACATTTTATAAAAATTTCTACCCCACTCTCTATACAGTTAATTCTCGATAAACCGCCACCTTTTGTAATTTAAAAATCGTGGCGGTATAACAAATTTGGCGATGAATTGAATTTTCCATCTTTTAGGAAATAAGACGTAGAGTTATCGTTCTTAGAAATACCATTTGGCGTTTCTATTCTTATTATCACATGTACATTATATATAAACATATTTCTAAAATTGAAAATTCTTCAAGTAATTTTTTTTATTTAGAATTTCGCTAAAACAAAATATTCAGTTATGAAATTAAGACAAGTACATGTGTATGCATGTAAATCTGCACGTCTGATATTGAAAAAAAATGCTGGGTCGATCGTCGTGATATATTGCCTATAGTACGTAAAATGATTTCTTGAATAAAAACATTGTTTATGAAATCATTGTTAATGAAACGTTCACAATTTCTGACTTATAATTATTTTTTAAGCAACGTTTTGCATTGTTTTTAGAAGCAGAGATCATCAAAATAATATCGTTATCGGCGTACTTTACAACAACCGCTTTCGTGGCGAAGCCTTGACTAATATACAGTTATTGACTTGGTATGCGGGCAACATATGATTTGTTGGACCTTAAGGTGAAAATATTGCCCGAGGCCGCAGGTCCAACAAATCATATGTTGCTCGAATCCCAGACTATAACTGTTTTGTTATACCCTTCACTGCTCACTTAAGATTGATCAATTTAATCAATACACGCTATATTATCAATTATTTTATATTGAAAAAATAAATGGCTTCTTCAGTAAAAATAAAACATCAAGCTGAGAAAGAACTAAATCAATTATATATCTATTGTATCACAAAAATTATTCATCACAAAACGTACTATTCCCTTCTTCATTACCTTGCTGTAAGCAACAACTCTTGTAGGTCTTAACTTCGGCTATTTTCGCGTCGCCGATATTGAACTGATTAATTACTTGTGACGTAACAGACAAGTGACGTTGCGGTCAAACAATTCTTATGTAAGACCGGTCAATAGTGAAATTGTTAGACCGATGTAATAAACAGCTCTTTTGTTGGACTTTTTATTAGTAATAAATACATAGAATAACATTTATAAGGGTATAACAATGTTTGTTATCCTCAAAACGTTACGCCTTCTTCAGTTTGGTGTGGATTTCTATTTAATTTTGCAAATAAGTGTAGATTAAATTATGATTCAGTTCATCGGATCTTGATTTAGATAAACAGTGTTGCCTTGGTTACGCAGCTAGGATAAGGCTGCCCGTAAAATATCAAACTGTTCAAACTGTACTAACTTCTCTGAACTACCTAGATATGACGGCATAATAGAATATGACGTCAAGTCACTGCATACTTGAGCTAACATGACGGGGAAAGTGTCATAACTATTACATGGCATGAAGATTTATTTTGGGGACTTGTTGTTTAATTCAAGTAAAAAAATTGTTTTAAGCTCAATTGTGCTGTTTTGATGTTGAACATTTGAAATTTAAATATTCCTATTCATTTTGCTTGTCCGATATGCACATATTCAAACAAAAGCGGAAAATTAAGTGTGAAACGCTCCCCTTACTTGTCCGTAGACAGAGTTAGAATTTATGAATCGTGTTTATATTGGACTGGCACAAGTGATAAACAAAGACAAATTGAAGATAATCAGTGTGAATCTTTCAGAGAAATATGGCCTCTATCTGAATTTTGCTGGGGGATGGTGTGTAGTTTAGACATTTTTGTGTAAATCTCGATAAAGAGTGGAAAACACTTCTTCTTATGTTGGTAAGTTGAATATCTCGTAAAATATTTTCTAAACAGGTAAAAATTAAATCTGCCCCCAGCACTTTCTATATACCATACCAGAGATCATGATGAATTGATCTGTGTAACAAACTTTGCACAATATTTTTGTTTTGCACTTGTGCCGAAGCCATTTTTGTGCAACAATTAGGAATATCATAAATCCCCGTCACGTGATCAACACAGTCATGTGACATCAGAAAAAAGCTTTAAAATAGAACCTGATTAAACTATTATCTCAAGTTGACTACAATTTTAAACAAGGATTACATATTAAAATTTAAATCTAGCTCAAAATATAATGTATATTTTCAAGGCATTTTTAGCCTTCGGACAGCCTTATCAAAACTGCGTAATGAAAATAAAAATGTTCTATTATAGGTTCTTAATTCTACTCATTCTACAGATTCATCATTTTTTAATATACACAAGACAAAATTGCTAACACACCAATTAAAATTCTTCTTTGTGAATTGAACATTTGGCTAATCGGTATGAGTATATATAAAACGCAATATTTTCCAATACAATGAGATTGGGAAATGTCTTGGTGTCAGAACAAAACCTTAAAATGACCTTCTTGCCCAAAACCAATTCCCCGACATGCATTGCGTACCTCTTTATTGCCCAGATATGTGCATTGGTAATTACCGATGATGGTCCTTGAGGTAACACCAGAAACAGTCTCCCAGTTAAAAAAAATTCAAATAATATGCAGCATTTGACTTTTATATCGCCTGCTAGTCATCCAATGCCTAGGTTTCCATGCCCAGTCCACTCAACTTCCGGCTGCATCAATTTTGTGGAACGACATTGAAATTGAGTTG